CCTAGAAACTTGGTACTATAGGTGCCTGATTAAGAAGCCTTGGGTCCTTATCAGGGTTCTTACTATACTTCTCTAAATTCGGGTCCCGCTGTTCTAAAGGGACCCTAATTTAAATTTGAACACAGCCCATATGTTGAAGCTGTCCCGGCTTCTGCTTCCCAGACCTTTGGGTTTGGGGTTTGGCATTTGGGGTTCAAGGTATTTAGGCTCAAATGGAAAAGAACAAACAGCAACGCCATCATCTTATAGTCACCTTATGTGGGCTTTGGAGTACCCTACTTTAATACTTTTTTCTCCAAGAAAGGGAACAAGTATGAACACAAAAAATACACTTTTTTCCCTGGCTACTTAAAGGCCCAGAAATTCAATTAATAGGGTTCCTTGAACGGTTCCTTTTAAAAGGGGGTCTATAAGGATTGCGAAAGGGGCTATTATGGGGTTTACTACGTGCGCCTTAGTAATTACCAATACTATTTCGGGGGGCTCCTTACTATAATTATAGTATAAAGGGCCCCAAGACCCTATTCTAACTGCTAAGGCTCCTTTGGTCGCTGCATGAGTACACTTTACACATTTAAGGTCTTTGGGTTTTTTAGGCACCACGTTTCGGAATTCGGTTTTGGGGTTTAGGGTTTAGGTAACTGAAGGCTCATGAACTCCGCAACTAAGGAAGGTTGGTGTGATGGACCGCGTGGACAAGCAGGAGATGCGATGCTCAGAGCTGCAGAGAAGATGAGCTTGCCTTAAACCCTCCCCTTAAAGTAAAAGTAAAAGCCAGAAAGTTGGAATATTATCTTTCTAAACCCTTTATGGTAAATTATAGGGGGTCCTACCCTGAAACCATATTCCAACTTTCTGGAGTTCCCTTTAAACAAGAGAGTAGCTCTGCGTCTTAGCAATGAAGAAGGAGCCTTCTCTGGTCATCTGCAAGGACATGTTCAAGGCTGCTGGGAGCTCAGGAACACGTCCGTTTAATCCTAAGGGGATCTCAAACACCATAATAGGGCTTTGGGGCATGTCAGAGTGTAGCTAAATGTCAGAAGCCCTGCGGACCAGTGATACTACATGTTCAGGCCCGGAGGTTGAAACCTTATCGTAGTCCACAAAAACCTGTAAAGAATACGCCTTACAGGAACCCTCTATACGGACCCTTTTTAGGGGTAGTTCTCTAAATTAGGGTCCCGCTGTTGTAAAAGGGATCCTAACCACCTTACACTTATGCTGTAATATACCCCCAAACCCTATGCTAGCAAGTATGGCCAGTTTTCACGTCCCTCTCCAAGGACTCTGACATCCAGAGCTTTACCGGCCTGAAGGCAGGCACCCAAACAGAAGCTGTCCGTCACGATGCTTTCGGGGCGAATAGTTGCCAGTACTATTTTTGGTGGTTCTTTAATTAATTACTGTTATCAACAAAACTAATGGCCTAAATTGAATTCTAATAACTAGTAACACTGTTTTTGGTGGTTCCGTTCCACAATTATTGTTTACTGGGCCACCACCTTGTTCTATTTTTCTAAGGGCCCCTACACTAAGCCCTTATTGTAGCTCTTATAGTAATCCTTAACGACTTGTATAAGAACCCCTTGAATTAAACGAACCCTATTCTCAATATTACGATCCCTACAGTGGCTGAGCTCACCGTCGAGAGGTGATCCACGAACAGTCCGGTGCGGAAGGTGCGGATCTGTCGAATCAAGGTGATGAACTGTGACTGTGAGACCTATTGGGACATTTTTAGGGTTTAGGGGTTTGGGTTTAGGTTTAGGGTTCAGGGATAGGCTAGAGTAGGGGCCTTAATAACAGTATACTATAATAATAATCAAGAAGCCCCAAAACCCTGGTGCTTAGTAGGGAATGGGGGAATGGATCCCTATAGCATTTCTATATAATCCCCAACAATAGTCCCAATAACCCGTTCCTACTAAGAACCAGACAGTAATGTTCACTTGTCGCAAAAGCCCTGTCAGGCGACTGGTATGTACACTTTAAAGGAGAACCCTACTCTAGAACCCTATAGTAACCTTTAAAGGGGAAGCCTATTCTAGAACCCTATAGTACCCAGACCTTCCAACAGTCCTCGATTACGGAATACACCCTAAGTTATAGTAGGTTAGTAGGATCACTAATATGATTGGTGTATTCCTGTATACCAGGATTTTGGAAGGTCTGAGTCCTCACCGCAGCCCTGCAGGCGTGCTGGAAGGGAGCTTTGGACAAGATGGTCGCATCAAGGTCCGCTTCAAGGAGGCGTGAGCGCGCTCCCAAATTGAAGTCAACCTAAATCAAGAGAAGCTGGGGGGGCCGAGAATGCAACCTTTCACAGATCTCTCAGGGTTTACGGCTAAGGGTTTAAGGATTGAGGGCCAAGGTATATTAATTTTAGAGGCTCCTACATTAGGGTATCCAGCCCCGAAGGAACAGTATCGAGCTCAGTGAGACTTTTCATTTGGGTTCCTGGCTGAGCTGAGCCACTAGCCGGAGGCGCTCCAACTAAAAGCGATGTGGGGCACACAGTATTGGTTTCATTATTAAGGGTACTCTATAAGGTTCCTTGAGGGGCTCCAGAAGGGTAATTATAGCGGTTATGTGAAAGGCTTAGTATACTGGCCGGAATAGCTCTTCCTGAATGTTTCTTTGTTTAGGTATACGAAAACATGCCCCGATTTTTATTCTCATTCTGAAGGCCCCTTTGCTTACACATTTCAGTCGATCGGCTGCGAGCTTTCCTGATACCTGGCATAGGCCCCGTGTTAATTGAAGCCAGGAAAGCTCGATCTGTGATTTTGGCCCTGAACCCTATTCAAAGGATCATAGAACTTAGTAACTAGGGTTATTAATGAAGTAACGATACTTGTAAATACTTCTGACCCAATTGAGGTACTTCTAACCCTACTTACTAAGTCCCCCCTTCTTCTCCAAGTAGACCCTAAACCCTAAACCCTGTAGATCCCTTTAAGGAACCCTATAGATCCCTTTAAGGAGCCTTTCAAGAGCCCTTACTGTAACCCGTGAAGCAGTCGCGTGAGGAGATTACGTCTCTCAAGCTGGATGCAAAGGGCAACGTCAAAGGCAACACTTGGGTGGTTGTCAAAATCAGGGTCTTGTTGGATCCTTATTATAATACGGCACCCAATATTTAGGATACCTAAAAAAGGGCCATGATTTTGACAACTACCAACTTCGGGGAGAGGTGAGGACATACCAGGGTTTTATTTCTTTTGTCCTGCATGGGATGGCCGAGACCCTAAACCCTAACCTGTAGCATGGGGCATAGGGGCCTAGACAATTAATTGGTATTGTGGGGGTTCCTGAAAATGGTCATTGCATAATTGTTAAAGACCCTGTATTAAACCCTGCAGTCCCCTGCCCGAAACCCGGAGCTCTGGATTCAAAGCCGTCACAGAGTCGCAACCGAGCAGGTTTCGCTGCAAAGAGAATCTAGAAGTTACCCCGAAGGCACGAGCAGCGTATATACAGGTACTACCTGAAACACACTGTAACGATTAACTAGCGATGATGTGCGATGTGGGGCTTGGGATTTGTCATTCGTGGGTGGGGAAATACCCAAAAATCTCATCTTTACCAATCTTTTGTTCTTTATGAACTGCTATTCTTATTGGCACTCCTATTCTTATTATGGTCATGAGTATGACGACGCTTATATTCTTCATTATGCTCTATAGTAGCAATGGTATACTATTTGGGGTTTAGGGCTTGGAAGATGCCCAGGATCTCTCTCTCTCTCTCTCTCTGTTATGTTCCTTGCTTGGTTCGGGCTTCAGCAAACACTGCGATCTGTCGCCAGGTACCGAGCGAATCTCGCTCTTCTTCAAGAAGTTCGACTTCGAGAAATCTGATGCCATCATCCAGTAAAATAGGGGTTGCAGTAATAGTGATAATGTAACCGTGAAGCCACAAACGTACATACATGCATACAAAAATTACATTTACATGTATTGTAGATAGATGCACGCACATAACACCATGTGTGAAAAGTTATATGAAATTGTATGTAGTTTAAAATACAAATACAGACCATTAAATACACACTGAAGTAGAGGTTAGACAGAGAGCTCCTCTCCTCATGTACCACTACTTTACCGCAGAGAGGTATGTATGCAGACATGAGAAGGTGCCTGAAGGAGCGTCCACTACTTTCTTCCAAGCTCGTTCATACTGAGAACGGTACACCTACCAAGATGGAACCATGGAACCCCAAACCCTAATCCCTGAACCCTAAACCCAGAAACCATACACCCTAACCGATTGATGGTATACATCCTGCATTACCTGACCCTACACTATGGGAATTACAGTATATTCCTCAGTATGGGTAATGCAAGGTTTATACCATCAACCGTACTAAATCGTCGGGTTTCACATGGAAGAACAGTAGAATTGCAATACAACTCCCTGCACCCTGGTCTTCTTACATAGGCCCCTATACATCCGTAGAACGGGCAGTTCCAATGTAGGGGCCTTAATATTCGTAATAGTACTCCTATTGTCACCTTCTTACAGTTATGCCGGAGTACATGCATATATATATATATATATATATATACATATATATATATGTATGTGATTTTACTTGGTTTTGTATGTATACGTATTTATGAGTATTTATACATGTATACCCCAAACCCTATCCTTTCATTCCCCTCTGCCCCAGACCCTATTTCATGCCCGAAAACTCGAGCGGCGAGCTCCCATTTTCGACGCGCTTTGCTTCGGTGCGGAAAACCGGCCACCCCTGGCAAGTCTTATCCATAAGGGGTCTTTGCGTTTATAGGGTTTTAGGGTCTAGGTTTTAGGGTTTAGGGTACCCTAAACCTATCTGAATTTCTGCTAGTAAACTCTAAACTTTCTATACCCTAAACCCGCGACATGGATGCGCTGTGGTCTCCTTTCTTGTAACTGCCTCCCCGTGTCATTGTCGAGTGATTTGAGGGCCCTTTCAAGGCTCCTTTACGGGATAATTGAAGGGATCTAGAAGGGTTCGATAAGGGTTTGGGGCTGTCGGTTAAAATTCGGTTTTGGGGATTTTAGGGCTTGGTACGTCAGCTTAGCTGACAGTGTTCAGCATTTGAGGGTTGGGTTTGGGGCCCTAAACCCGAAGCCCAAACCCTGAACCATAGTGTACAGGGAGAAATGGAGATTCGGGATTTCGGGTGTAAGGTGGGGTAGCTGGATGAGTCTTTCTCAAAGCCCATAAACGTGGTGGTCCCCTTATAACCCACTGAAGTCATTTATCTACAATATAACCCAAAAGCCTTTTCTGAGATATTCGGAGTCTGATTAACAAGGCCAATATATTGAACACTTCGCTCCCTTACAGTACCCCATGAAACGGAATCCTTAACGGAACTCCTAAACCCTGAACCCTCTTCTAATTACTAGTGCTCCGAGATTATGTCGTTTCCATGCCCACATCAGGCGGAGCTGAGACGGAAGGCAGGATCGTGCAGCCTCTCTCTTCTTTATATGCATATATATATATATATATACATACACATTTATATATATATATATATATATATATATATACACACACACACACGCACGGAATCATGAAGTTATACCGCATACTTTATGGTAACTTCCTTATTCAAGAGGTGTTGTGCTCCCTTCTCACAGGAATTTGGAATGAGAGTCTGCGGGCGTGGGCTTTTGTGTGTAGGGCCTAGGGATGATTGTGTTTCAGGTTTTGCGGGAATGAGCTTTGCTCGCATGTTTAAGGTAGGAGCCTGGTTGAAAGCCCCAAGCCCTTTTGTGTCTAGGGATGATTGTTTCAGGCTTTGGGGGAATGAGCTTTGCTCGCATGTTAAAGGTAGGAACCTGGTTGTGAGAGACCCAAGCCTCTCATGACCTTACCCTAAACCCTGAACCCCTTTGCCCATGACTAGGACCTAGAGTAGGCCCTTATTCCCTTTTTTGGGGGTTCAGGTTCCCTTATAAGCCCCTTTAAACCAAAAAGGGCACCCTTTTTATTACTAGGTTACTCTTGGGTCTAGATGATAAGGAATATACCACAGTTCCCACAGCTTTGGGTCCCTAAGGTAATGCAGGCCTAAATCACAAACCCCTAAACCCTAAGCCCTATAGATCCCTTCAAGGACAGGACCCTTTAAAGGTAATGCAGGATTTATGTCATCAACCGTATCGACCCGGAATTTCTTTTAGAGGCTGGGGGGGATTGTTATGGCTTGAAGTGTTCCGATCCAGATCGTATACGTAAGTATACTATATTGTTCTAGAACATACTACAGCATATACTCTTATAACCTTCTTATACTGTATATAACAGACTATCGAAGACTATAGTAGACTAGAATATACTTAAGTATAGGTGATCTACTACAACATGCTACAGTATAGCATTGCGACGAAGCCCTGCTTGAACGCCTAAGCCTGGCACAGGCGGAAGTTGCTCAGAGCGAGCACGAGGAAGCACACAGAACTCTCGATGTTTGGCATGGTCCCCGGTGGATGCGTATAGTATCGTGTTTGATGGTACGTTATAGCCTGTCATGTTATATTGTAGCCCGTTATGGCCCACCCTAGAGTAAAATCATAGCACATGTTCGACTTGAACCTCGGTGGATGCGTATATCGTAGTAGTTTTTATAACCTTGCTATAGTATTCTCATATGGTTCCAGCCTCGTAGAGTATGTGAAAGTGGGTATACAATCGTATTTTATGGTATGTTATAACCAATCATAGTATATAATAGTCCGTTATAGTCCGGAATATATATATATATATATATATATATATAATATACACACACACACACTTCTTTTTACAGATAGCATAATTCATCGTCCTTGGTCCTACTTGCCACGACAACTAGTACGACGGCTACGACAACGAGTACCACTACTCTTTCTGCTGCAGCTCGTACTTCCTACACCTATACTGCTGCCTCTTGCTGACACGTTTGCGATGACGATGAGGGCGCCGCAGAAGGCTACAGGTGCTGCTGCTGCCACTGCCACTGCCCGCCCCTGCTCCTGCTACTCATACTGCTGTTACTGCGACTGCCGACTGCGACTGCACTGCCACTGCCACTGCCAAAGCGACTGCGACTGCTACTGCTTCTGCTACTGCTACTGCTGCTGCTGCCACGAAAAATTCTACCACCACCACGGCCACCGCCACGACTGCCACTGCTGCTCAGTGTTGCTAGTGTTGCGATTACAGTTTCACTTGCTGATGCTGGCCCGGCTGGCCCTAAGCCCTACAGCATTCAACATGGTCTTGCTAGTAGGACTATAATATAGTACCCTGAATAGTAGGATACCTATTACAAGGACCCCAAAACAAGGTGCCCTTAAGTTTATGAAGCTCCCGCGAATACGACTTTATCTCCGATCTGGTCGCTCAAAGTTGCTCGTCTGATCGGCTGAGGCGAGGAAGACGAGAGCAGGCACGTCTCAGGCGCTCACTGACTATAAACAATTAGCAATGATTATTATTTAGGGCTTCCTTATTCTAATTATAGTCGAACAAATCAACGTTGGAGCTGTAGGAGTTCTTCTTTCGGCTGGGTACCGACGACTTCTGCAGGGTGAAGGGGTAGCAGCACATCGGGTGTGAGTGCATGCCCGTTCCGCAGCGTTACAGCTTTGCAGCAGCACCGCCCCGTCTGGCGGCATCCAGGCAGGGTTGCTGCTAAACCGCCTTAACCGTGAAGCCCTCAACGCGAAACCACAGACCCTGATCAGGGACTCATGCTTGCTGCTCGTGTCTGAGGTAAAGTGAGACTATAGCGGGATGTTGGCTTTCTTCCTTTGGCCACACATGTAGTGGCCATGATCAAGACTGCATAGTCTAGTTGTCACACCCCTGAGCCTTAATCCTCGAACCCCAAAGCCTAAACCTTCAACCACCCCGAGCCCTAGATCCTAACTCTTGATGGTTGAACCCTAAACCCTAAACCGTACCCGAAACCCCTAAACCCTAAATCCTAAAACCCCTAAACCCTAAACCCTACCTTATCACCACGTTCCTTTTAACCCTCGGCTTTGCTTGGACCAAGCAGCATCCACACGGGGGTTCAGCGTGTACTCCACTGGTGTGTAAGTCTCTGGAACAGCGTGTGCTCTCACACCAACTTTGGTCCGAACCTTCCGATTTGGCTGAGGCCATGAAGGGCCGAGTGCTCTGTGAGAAGCACACCGCCGCTGATGGCACCTGTGCCTCGGTTCTTCTTCAGGATTTACAGTAGAAGCCAGAAAGTTGGAATATCATTATCCTAAACTCTTTATGGTAAATTATAGGGTATCCTACCCTGAAACCATATTCCAACTTTCTGGAGTTCCCCTTAGGTCTTTGGGGTTAAGGAAAGCGACTGAAAGGTTAAGGTACCGCAGTAAATAGAGAGTGCATGATGTACAAAAAAATCGGAGTGTGAAGCAAGAAATTACCAAAAACATGGAGCCCGACAGTTTCACCGTTCTGAAATACTAGTTACATGGACCCCTACATGAGGTATCTTACAATTGATGATATACATCCTGCATTACCCATAACAAGGAATATGCCATAATTCCCATAGTTTAGGGTCCTTAAGGTAAGGCAGGATTTATATCATCAACCGTAGTTTTCTGAAACTCACAAACATCCCGCTTATCGTCACGAAAATCCAATCAAGCCCCTCAAAAACCCCAAACCCCTAAAACCCTAAAACCCTAAACCCCTAAATTTCGAGCTAGGCGTTGCTGTCCTGACCATGGACAACAAGTGACCACAGCTGCAAGCAGATCCCTAAACCCTACCTGGACCCCAAATAACCTACCTTTTTAGGGTTCCAGCATGATTTCTTTATATAAGTCCTGAAAAAGGTAGGTTATTTGGGGTTAAGGTAAAC